ACGAGAGAGAGAGAGCGAGAGAGAGAGAGAGAGAGAGAGCAAATCTTCTTTAGTATAATGTGACTGAGGACCTCATTAACGATTTGGCTCTTCGATACTAATAAATATTGATAAATACTGAAATACTAAAAATATATAGAAAATATTGATATAATTATTCTGTGACTTAAATCTGATTTTTTCTTTCTGGCGTTTTCAAATTAAATCGTAAGATTAATGATAAAAGATATCTTTTATTGAATTACAGATACTTTTGTAGGCTACGTTCAGAAAGGGTTAAAGATAAACAACTATAATGGATTTATTCATTTATTATATGACATTTTGATTCGAAAAAGATGGTATTCCTCTTAATGAGTGTTATTGCTATTGTTGTTATTATTCTAATCATTATTTTTGTTGTCAGTGATCCTGTCATTGTTGTTTTATTGTATATCTGCCCATCTGTTTCTATATCTGTCTATCTATCTATCTATCTATCAATGCATATCTGTCTATCTATTCTTTTATTTATCAATCTATATATCTAACTACCTATCTACCTATCTATATAGCTATCTATCTACCCATCTATCTTTCTTTCTATCCATCTGTCTGTCTATCTGTCAATCTATCTATTTATCTACCCATTTATCTATCTATTAATCTATCTATCTATCTATCTACCTATTTATCTATCTATCTATCTATCTATCTGTATATCTATCTATCTATTTATCTATCTATCTATCGATCTACCCATTTATCTATCTATCTCTCTATCTATCTACCTATTTGTCTATGTCTATCTATCTATCTACCTATTTACCTATCTGTCTATCGTTCTGTCTATCCCTCCATGTCTCTATCCATCTTTCTGTCTCCCTCTCCTCCAAAAAATGTTTATGTGTGGTCCTATTTTGGCCCTTATTTCCGGTTTGCATTCCTTGAATATTTCCTTTTCTTCTCTCTGTCAGTTAGCTTTTCTCTCTCCGTCTTTTATTCTCCATTTCCTTTCGCCTCCTCTCTTCTTTTCCTCCTCCTCCCCCCCTTTTTCGCCCTAGCCTCTAGATCTTTTGCTTTGCTCCCCTCCCCTCCCCCCCACGTTTTGTTTGTGTTTATTTGTTTGTCTGTCTCATTATGTAAATCTTTCGGTTGATTTATTTTCATATGAATCCTTTCTTTATATATTTTGTTTGTTTGTTTGTTTATTGTCTGATTTTCTCTTTGTTTATCTTCGATTTTTCTTTTTTTTTCTCTTTTTCTTTCTTTTTTTTTCAGGAAGAATGAGGGAAAGAAAAAGAAGGGGTGAGAAAAGAAGGCGGAGGAGAGGAGAAGAAGGAGGGAAAGGGAGGATGAAGAGAGGGAGGAAGGAAGGGGAGGAAGGATAACACAGAATAAGAAGGGAGGGAGGGAAGAGAGAGAGGGAAGGAGAGGAGAGGAGTGAGAGAGGAAAATGGAAGAAGGGAGGTAGGGAAGGAGAGGAGGCAGGAGGGTAGAGGAGAAAGGAGAAAGGTAAGGAGGAGGGGGAGGCGGAGAACTGGAAGGAGTAAGAGGAGGGAGGAAAGAAGAAGGGGGAGAAAAGAAGGAATATGGGGGAAGTGAGAACAGGAGATGGGGAAAGGGAAGGGAAAAGGAGAGGGGAGAGAAGGGGGAAGAAAGAGCGAATGAGAGGAGAAGAGGAGGTGGAGGGAGGTAGGAAGAAGGAGAGGAGAGAGAGAAGAAAATGAAAGGAAAGGGGGAGAGGAGGGAGAGAGAGAAAAAAAAGGGTAAGGGAGAAATAAATAGAGAAGGAAAAGAAAAGAGAGAGAGAGAGGAGGGACAGAGGAGAGAGAACAAGAGGAGAAGATGAATGGGAAGAGGAAGAGGAGGAACAAGAGAGGGACAACCCCAAGCAGGTAAGTCTCTAGTCTCTTAACTATTCCTAAATAGTTAGCGATTGGCCACGGTGGGTGTAAATTACGAGGTATTTCAAGCTGTTATTTGTGGTGGGCAACGGTGGGCGGTGGCCGGGTGGGCAGCGGGCAGGTGGGTGATGGTAGTGGGCGGCGTAGATATATAAGATTCTCTCTTCTTTTTTTTTTTTTTTTTGTCCTTGTGTGTGTTTAGAAGGGAGAGAAAAGGGATTAGGGAGGGTGGGGGAAGGGGAGGGAGGGGGGGAGGGGCTGAAGAAGGGGGCAGCATAAGGAGGAGGAGGCGGAGAAAGGCGAAGAAGATAGGGGGGGCACAGTCAATCAGAAAAATAAAGAAAACAAAAACACAGAGAGACAGAGACAGAGACAGTCAAACAGAGAAAGACAGAGACAGAGACAGACAGATGAGAAGACAGACAGACAGAAGACAGACAGACAGAGAAAGTGAGACAGACAGACAAGAAAGAGACAGACAGACAGAGAAAGTGAGACAGACAGACAGAGAAAGTGAGAGACAGACAGACAGACAGACAGAGACAGACAGACAGAGAAGAGACAGACAGACAGAGAAAGTGAGACAGACAGACAGACAGAGACAGAGAAAGTGAGACAGGCAGACAGAGAAAGAGAGACAGAAATGAGACACAGACAGACAGACAGACAGACAGACAGACAGAGAAAGTAGACAGACAGACAGAGTGAGAACAGAGAAAGTGGGACAGACAAACAGAAAATGCAAGGCAACAAAATCAACACCATAATGCGTGTAACAGTTAACATACGAATGACCAGCACCAAAACGCGTGTATGAAAATTAGTCCGAGGAAGGTAATGGTGTGGTTATCCTGCCGTTGGAATGTGTCCGTGTGCGTGTCCGTATGTATCCGTGTGTGTGTGTGTGTTTGTGTCCGTGTGTGTGCGTGTGAAGTGGATATAGGGTCACACACACACGTACACACAACACAGCACATACACACACACAACACACAACACACAACAACACACACACCACACAACACGCACACACACACACACACAACACAACCACACACAACACACACGCACACACAACACAACCTGGGGTATATGGGCACTTGTGTGTGATCTGACCAATGCTATGCCTGGGTTAGGTCGGCTTCCTTTGTGTTTAAGATAACATCTCCGTTTGGCCCCCTGCGTGGTCGACAAGACGGTGGTGGTGGCTTGTTGGGGGGGGGGGGGGTAGGGGAGGGGCAAAGGGAGCGGCAGGTGGGATATTATTGGTGGGGAGGAGTAGGAGGGGAGGAGGAGGGAGGAAGGAGGAAGGAGGAGAGATGGAAAGGTGAGAGGGACATCTTCGTCTTCTTGTTTTTTTTTTTTTTAATGCTGTTGATTGGTGTTCTTTATCTCTTTTTTTTCTTTTTCTTTCTCTCTCTCTCTCTTTCTTTTCTCTCTCTCTCTCTCTCTCTCTCTCTCTCTCTCTCTCTCTCTCTCTCTCTCTCTCTCTCTCCTCTCTCTCTCTCTTCTTCTCTCTCTCTCTTCTCTCTCTTTTCTGTCTCTCTCTGTTTCTTTCTCTTTCGCTTCTTCTCTCTCTCTCTCTTCTTTTTTTTCTTTTTTTTAAGCCCCCCCATTAATTTTTCCTGTTGTTATTTTAGCTCCATTATTTTTCCTCATTCATCTATTCTTACTCAGAGTCAAATCGAAAAGGCAATAAAATGATACAACACATAATTAAGAATTGACAGTAAAGAAGCTATGATTACCTACGATAATAATTCTGAAAAATACTTAAACGTACACTCTTTACATAATAATAAACCTCACAAACTCACTAATGTCTAAATACAACTATATAAGCGATCTTTTACTTATCTTTAAAGGCCACAGACCCAAAATAGAATTGTCCCCCCATAAAATAGTAAGAAAGAAAACGAGAAGATTAAGGAGGAAATGGGCATAGAAGACAAGAAGGCGAAGAAAAATGATAAAAGAGGGAGAATAAAAAGAGGAGGAAGAAGAAAAAAAATAAAGA